AGTGGCTGCTCAGCTCGGGCTGGACTCGAACCGCTGTTGCTCAGAGCTCAAACTCTTGAGCGAGCTCTTAACCAACTGAGCCACTCGGCCGGCCCGCGGCTGTGATCTTTTTTGTTTTTAATTTTGTAACCTAAAACATTATTTAAGAGTATTCTGGATTGTCTGGAACACTGACTTACCACAGAGCACTCTTCTCTGATTTCAGTACCCTTGAGTGTGTTGTAATGTCACCCAGACCTTCTAAAGCGAGAGTGAGACTCTCAGGGGAATCTGCAGGTGTGCGAGGGGCCTGCAGGGGGCATCTGTGTGTTGCTCATTTTGAGAAATTCTAGCACGTAAAGGGCTGTCCATTGTATTCAGGACCCCGAAAGTGTGGTTGTATCTGGGTCTAGTCTGGCACACAGTATCTTCGGTCAGTTGTTTTCTCAGAGCCTTCATCATGCCTACTCAGTACTAACTCTTCAGCATGGGCTCTCTCGTGCCGGCTTGGAAGGTCCGTTACTTCTATCCAGACTCCTCAGCAGGGTCTGCTAAGCCCCACATGATCTGCTCCTGGCCAGCTCCCTCACCTCTGCCTTGTTTTCACATGCAGTAAGCCCAGCCCCTGGCACTTGCTGTGCCTCCTGCATGGGGCGTCTTCCCTCCAGACTATCGTGTGGCTACTGCTCTCTCTCACTGTTCACTCTCAGCTTCACTGAAGCCTCATTGACTGCCCTAGTGGAAACCCCCCTCCCAATCTCTGTGTTCTCCACTCTAAATGAGTTCGAATGGCAATATTCCATCTTTTTTATGGCTGAGCATATTCCATTGTGTATAGGTATCCAGTCATTTGTCAAAGGACACTTAAGTTGTTTCCATGTCTTGGCTATTATAAGTAATGCTACAGTGAACATTAGGATACATATATCTTTACAAATAAGTGTTTTCAGAAATTTCAGGTAGATGCCCAGAAGAGGGGTGGCTGGGTTGTATGGTAGCTCTGTCAATTTTCTGAGGAACCTCCATGCTGTTTTCAACAACATGGATGGATTTTGAGCTTATCATGCTAAGTGAAGTAAGTCAATGGAAAAGGACAAGAACTGTATGATTTCACCCATATGTAGGATTTAAAACAAAAAGCAACAAACAAAAAAACCCAGACTCATAGATACAGACAACAGAATGGTAGTTACCAGAGGTGGGGGAAGGATGAACAGGATAAAGGGAATCAAGAGGGCGAAGTTGTACACCTGAAATTTATGTAATGTTAATAACCAATCTTACCCCCAATACATTTAATTTTTTAAAATTAAAAAATAAAGTAAATAAAAAATAAAATGAGACTGATCTGCCTCGCCTGGGAAGAGCGCAATGATGGTGCCAACTTGGGCCAGTGAAGCAACGTCCTCCACAACTAGACTGAAGAACAAAAGGACANGTGCTGTTCCCCTCCCCCGATTCCCCAATAAAATCTCTTTAAATAAATAAATAAAAAGTGCCTCAGTGTGTGGCTCAGAACAGCTGCTCTAGAAGTAATAGCTTATTCCTCCCCACACCTGCCCGTTAGTGCAGACGTGTCCCAAAAAGAGTTGTAGGTGTTAATGTCAGTTACTCAAGCTGAACAGTTTTCAGACACCTTTCTTTTCTTTAGCCTTTTGTCCATTTTCCTGTTCACTGATAATTGGGTAAGGAAATGAAAAAAAACAAACCCAGGCTAGCCAAATACTAAAACGTTTTTGCATTAATTTTTTTCCAGTTGAACAAAGCACTAGAGATAGTTTTTCTGGGGCGGCCCTGGCTCTGCCCCTTACTAGCTGTGCGTTTGGAGTGTCATTTTACTTCTCTGTACCTTGGTGTCTCCATCTGTAAAGCGAGGACACTAATAAAAGTAATGACCTCACAAGGTTCTGGTGAAGGTTCAGTGAGTGTAAAGCATGAAGTTAGGGCTCCGTAAGCGTCGGCTCCTACTGTCACCTCATCATGATCTTTCCTGTCCCTGTGAGCTGACCTTGTGTCTTGGTTTCCTGGCTAAATCAGAGCTAGAATACAGCTCTTGGCATTCAGTCCACCTGTATGCGTTCTAAGAGTATGTTGTGACTTTGCTTTGAGAAACAGAAAGCTATTTTTTACCTTTAAAGTAAATGCAGTTTAGAATCATCATCTCGGTGGTGGGGTCTATGTTCTCCAAGGCGTCTTTGATGAGGCCCTTGGTGAGCTTCAGAATGTGGTTGTTGGTTTTCGATATGAAGACGGGGTCTGAGAAGTCAGCTCCCTGGGCCTCAGCAAAGTAGTACTCTTTTACTTTAGTTTTGTAGTCTTCCAGGATTGGAAATTGCTTCTGGACGTAAAGGTCATTGACCGACCGCAGTGTGTACCCAAAATTCCTCCGGAAGAGGCGATGAGTCAGTTTTCGGAAGAGATTATGAATGGTCATGATCTCATACTTGCTGCTGGCATTGACGAAGTCTTTAAAATGCAAAACCGAGTGCACTTGTTCGTGAGTCTCCCCCTGAAGGCCCAAGGAAATCATACCCATGGCGGTGGAAATGCCCACTGGGGCTATGAAGATGTTGTCCGAAGTAATGGCCTGCTCTTTCAGCACACGGTAGAGGTTGAAAGCGAACTTGGCATTGAGGATGTTAAGACGCTGGATCCGGCTCTTGCCGTGAAAGAGCTGGAGAATGTTCCCAGCACTGGCCCCTGAATCTGTCTGCGTAACCACGTCGATGATGTCAATGTAGTCATCATCTTCACTGAACAGCTTCTCCAGGTCCAGATAATCCTCATCCTCTTCGCCTTCTGTGAGCCAGTCGTTGGTGACTGTGTTCTCCTTGTGGAAGTCAGCAGGGAGTAAGGGCATGCTCAGGTTTTTGCCGTTTAACTGCCCCCATTGGGGATCTGCAGACTTAGAGCCTTCCCCTCCTTTCTCGAGCTGATCCACCAGGCCTCTGTTCCCACACACGGATGTTAGGATGAGAGAAACAATGAGGGGCTGGAATGGGCATTTCATTTTGGTAGAGCTGAAGCTGGGAGGGAAAGCACGACATGTGAGAGGCAGCCTTGCAGACCCCACCCCACCTCTGCAGCGCCCGGGTAGCAAGTCCCTGTGGCTTTGACCCAGAAAGATGCCCTGGGAGCTCCAGTCTGTAACCATTTTAGTCTCATGGACTTTAAGAGAATCTGATGAAGATAAACATAGTTTTTTAACATTGTGTGTGGACTTCATAAACCTACCGGAGGGATCTGTGGGCCCCTAGATGAGAATCCCTTTTTTAAAGGTTTACAGAACTGTAACCATCTAGAATTCTGGGGGTTCAGGGGCCTTGGGGGAGTTTTTTGTGGTTTTTTTTCATTCATTCATTCAACTTTGTCTCCTATCTCCGTACAACATATTAGGCCCTGGAGGCACAAAGGTCTCCCCCACCAGGGGGCTCGCCAGCCAGGTGGGGGACAGACGGTGCACTAAAACAGAAGGCTCTCATAAGGATGCTACCAAAGCAGGTGGAGGGTGCAGAGCTGAGGTGCAGCTCTGCCTCCTGCACCAGGAGTAGGGGTACCAGGAGAGCCAGAGAAGCATCACCAAGAGGTGGAGCTTGAGTGGAGATGTTGAAAAATATGTATATGGGCCAGACTTTCTGAAAACAAATATTCTAAAGATATTTGAAATTTGTGTAGTCATGTGGGGTTAATTTGCATAAGATTTGGAACTTGTCTGTAATGCGGAAACCCCCTCACAGCCTCGTGAAGTGCATTTGAAGGCTGTGAGGCTACATGGGTCGCCTCAGGTGTCCTTTTTTCTCTTCCGTGCGTTAGGTGGCTCCCACTGCTGTCAGGAGGAACTAAACTGTTTCTGGCATGGAGTTAGAAATAATCTCACCAGGCGTGTCAAGTCTGTGTGAGGGTGATGTCAGGAAGCTCTTACTTAAGGGCTGAGGGGCACGCCCTTTATTTAGGTAAACAAGATAAGTTTTTAATACATAGCCTGTGGTAAGCTTGTCTCTACTCATCTTCTGCCTGCTCCAAGGAAGGGTTTGACTTGGCTTGTCAAATCAGTTATGGCTGCCAAGTGCTTTGTCTTTCCCTTCTTATTTCCTGGTTATTCATTGCATCCTGAGTAGATGAACTATTATGGATGCTTCTGTGTTTCGCCAGGACAGTGACGATAGATGTTTGTAATGCTGTACAATAGTACATCATTCCAACATCACTTCTGATCACCCCAGAAAGAGGAGTTCTGACTTAAGTTTGTTGTGTGTGTCACCATGTCCTGTTAGATTTTTTTTTTAATTGGGGGATGGGAACAGCGTTGGGGAGTTGGGGGAAGGGGAACAGACAAGTTGCTGTCCTTTTGTTCTTCAGTCTAGTTGTGGAGGACGTCGCTTCACTGGCCCAAGTTGGCACCA